AAATAAATAGTGAAAAATCATGCAAAATTTCCACTGTTATAAATCTGTTGTTTGAAGATGTCAGCAGTTGCGACTTCATAGGTTTTAAAGAGTAAATGTTGCTCTATCAGCTAGTGAAGGAATCTGGTCGATTTAAGAGATAGTCGTTGAAAACCAGAGTTCTAAAACTTTACGCCATTTTTGCGTGTTTTTTGACTGTTGAGAGTTAAACTCTTATAAATCTTGAATGTGGAAGTGTATGATGTTGCGACTTCATAGGTTTTATAGAGTAAGGTTTGCCTTATCAGAATATGTCTTGTCCGTTCCGATCCATTGAAACACCTCCGAGATCCAGAGTCATGAAAAAGCAGGTAAAAAAGAGCTTTTTGAACTTCAACAGCTCATAACTTCTTCAGGATTGCACGAATCATGTTGCGACTTCATAGGTTAGATTCTTCTCGTCAAGAGCTTTCAGATGATATATAATATGTGGGGGTTTCGCGCCTCTTACGGCATATGCCCGGGGGGGGGGAGACTTTTTAGGCCAAAGTCTCCCCCGGCAGCCTCCAGCCAATACATTAAAATGGGCGAGGGGGAGACTTTGGCCTAAAAAGTCTCCCCCCCCACCCGGTCATAATTCGCAGGAGGCCCCAAACCCCCATATATCATATATCATCTGAAAGCCTTTGATGAGAGGAATCTAACCTATGAAGTCGCAACATGATTCATGCAGTTCTGAAGAAGTTATGAGCTGTTGAAGTTCAAAAAGCTCTTTTTTACCTGCTTTTTCATGACTCTGGATCTCGGAGGTGTTTCAATGGATCGGAACGGACAAGACATATTCTGATAAGGCAAACCTTACTCTATAAAACCTATGAAGTCGCAACATCATACACTTCCACATTCAAGATTTATAAGAGTTTAACTCTCAACAGTCAAAAAACACGCAAAAATGGCGTAAAGTTTTAGAACTCTGGTTTTCAACGACTATCTCTTAAATCGACCCGATTCCTTCACTAGCTGATAGAGCAACATCTACTCTTCAAAACCTATGAAGTCGCAACTGCTGACATCTTCGAACAACAGATTTATAACAGTGGAAATTTCGCATGATTTTTCACTATTTAAATATTCAAAATTCTGGTTCTCCGCCGTTACTGCCTGGATCGACCTACTTCCTTCGCTATACGTTATAACATAATTTGCTTAATAAAATCCGTACAGTGTTGCTAAGCTTTACTTCCAAATACACCATTTACTAAAAACCTTTATTTTAAATCTATATGCCGCCGTATACATAAATATATGCTTTCAATAATCTTTTTTGCGTTTGTTTTGCTTATTTTCCTTCTTTGTCGTCCAGCGAAAAATTTTCTATTCCAAAAGTGAAGGTGGTCACCCCGTACCAGCTCAAAAGTGAAGGTAGGGGGAGACTTGGCTCCCCCTATCGCACCTCTGGCACTGGCTCGGACTCTCTATAAAAAGATCGAGGAAACGGTATAGATGGCATTAGCTGTCTTCCCGTTGGCAACATTTGCTAGGTACTTTCTTGTCTAGCCTTAATCTCAATTGATCCCGCAAGTGGTATAAGTTACCCACTATTTTACGGCACATTAGAGCATTAACATTCTGTGAAGGCGAGAAAGACGGACCTAGATCAAGGAATTGAATTGCCTGCGGTGATAAATGGATATTACCGATAACGGTGACTCTTGCAACAACGTCATTTGGACCGGATTTGTCAATAGAATGGTGCCTTCGAGGATGACTTTTCTCATAATCTTCATGTTTCTCGTGCAGTGCTTCCATGAGTTGGTTGAACTTTCTGCAAAGTCTTGACTTAGCCTTAGATCGGATAGAGTTGCAATCTAGCCTCGATTCGTTTTCAATCCTCCTCCACTGATCTTTTGATAAAAGACGTTTACAATTCATTTCCTTAAACGAACATTTCAATAATGACGAGTACAACACACGTTGCTTTTCCTCAATAGTTAGACATAACAAAGAATGATAAACTTTCTTAACACGTATATCATCTTCGCGTAAACAACAGGTGATTCCTAGTTTTTTCTTTGAAATGAGGTTCGGTAGGATGTTTGCCTTCTTACAACGTTGGAGGAAGAATAGAGACTGGCGAACCGCAACCACCTTTTGGCGAAGCGACAGTGCCTCGCGCACCAGAGAGTAGAACTTCGGCGGCACATTAGTAAGTAAATTCCACGTATCTCTTCTCGTACCGAAAGAAAAGCTCCAAGAACATACTCGTCCACGCTACATCAGCACATCCTCCAGCTCTAAAACGTTTCGTTGTTTGCAATATGTACAAAACCGCTACAGAAATGTGCACGGGTGAAGACGAAAAGTATGAGTTGCAACAGTTGGCATCCAAAATTGCTCGCAGTAATGGCTACACAATTGCGCGATCTCGACAGCGACCATCTACACGATCCGAAAACTGTAACCTTACGCGAAGCAATAACAGTGACAGCAAGATCTCTCTCTGTATGCCATTTGTCTCCGATAGTTTCAGCAGAGGTTAGCAGATGCATAGTACGAGCACAGTTGGAAAATGAGGTGATACTGGTCAAAATTCCTAGCAGTAACATCAGAAAGCGGTTGATCAGAAACAGAATGTACAACGTAGAATGTCAGAAAACTGCATTGTCTGCCCTTATGGGAAACTAGGTGACTGCGCGAAGGAGGGTATTGTTTATCAGCTGGAATGTTTGAAGTGTGGCTCAACGTATATAGGAGAAACTAGAAGAATTCTGAGTGTTAGAATGAAAGAACACCTGGCTAACAAAAGACGAGGAAACGTGTCATCACCGTTGGGCAAACATAAGATTGAGGCACACAATGGTAACGATTTTAGCGTTAAGTGTACAATTTTAGCGCAGGAGGTCGAGATTTCAGCACGAAAAATGCTAGAGGTTGCGTTGATCTACGCCGGAAATCCGGGCATGAACAACAACGAGCGCGTGACGATAACGACGATCTCTTGCCTTTTATGTCATTATGTGAACTTGAACCGCACAGTATATATAGTCCTTGACTCACTGAGCAACCTCAGTGATGTCCGTCACATCCGTGCCTACTACTGACTCCAAGGTGGATTAGAGGTTGGTGAATCCATTTTGGATTGTTTCTCGGCCGTTGCGCCCAGACCAGGTTCAAACGACGGAAGTCTGATGAGGCGTTTGGTCGTATAGACTAACAGATAATATCACCGCAATTCCTTTTCAGATCTCCGAAGAAGACGGTATTAGTCGAAACGTAAGGTCAATAAAGATCTACCACAAACCTAGTTGGCAGAAGAATAATTTGAAAACCGATTTTGATTAACCTTTGGATATCAATAGAACCAAGTCTTCAGATTGTCGCGCAACTAAAGAGCTTGATAGCATATCACTTTGGAAACAAATCAAGATTATTTTCCACTTCTCCCAAGACCAAAATAAATTTCTAAACTGTGACAGTAAATCGCAAGTACCAACAAAAAGATTTCTTATGTTCTACGTGCATGCAGCGTAGAAATCGAATGGTTTAGGATAAAAAAGGATAAAGGATTCGGCGTCTTCAATACCCTCTGAGGGCATGCGCCGAACGCACACACTAACTTCATAGTCGAAGAGGCAATTGTATGCGTGCGAGCCTATTACAGTGACTTGCGGGGGCCAGCCGTCTCCAAGTCAGTGCTTTTGTCCTCCCAGATTACTCTGGTACCAATTTACCGGCCCCGGAGGATAGAGGGCTTGGTTGGCCCAGGGGCGGGGATCGAACCTGTGCCCGATCTGGTCATAGCCTCATACCACTACACCACTCATCCCCATCTAATGGTTTATGTTTAACAAATCTTGTTCAAATTTCAAACATCGTGCACATCGTTTGAAAATTTCGGCATTTAAAACTTGTAAGAAAATTTTACACTGATGCAAAAGACGAATGCAATTGACGTCTTAAATTTTTGCCTTACAAGGGAACGATACTCGGTGTCCGTGGCTTTTTGAGATGAGATATATACCATTAGACTCGTCTTCGAACGCTGATTCCGAATCTGACTTCCGTTTCTGCTAATCGCTTCAAAGATTTCATGATGGATGGCGCGGAGTTTGGCTGCTTAGTGAAATATGGTCGGAGCGCGAGCGATAACGTTAGGCTGTGGTCTAGTGGTTAGTGCGATAGCCTCATAAGTCGATGCAGGTGTAGGTTCGAGTCCCTTTGTGTTTTTCAGTTTTGCCTTGCCTCAGTTAACCTTCTTTCGCATCCTCAAGCTGAGTGAACGCCCTTACTCTTCAAAAAATGGAATGAATGATTGGTGTTCGCGCTGAAATTTATCCAGTGATTATGATTCGAGTGAATTTTCTTGAACAAGTAAGGCAGTGCAAAGGTAAAAACACAAAAGGATTTGGACCTACACCTGCGTTGACTTATGAGGCTATCGCACTATTTACTAGACCAGCACGTGGCCGCAGTAGAGGCCGTTCCAATGACCATAATTCCTTTGGGCGGCCAAACTTGGCTCAAAATTCGTTATAACTTCTTTCAGAAAAACGATTAGCAGAAAAGGAAGTCAGATTCGGAATCAGCGTTCGAAGACGAGTGTAACGGTATGCATCTCGTCTCAAAAGGTCACGGACATTGAGTATCGTTTCCTTGTTAGCATTTTAAGGTAGGAGCACAATTTCAAAAAGATTTGAAAAATGCTGGACCTTGCCAAAACGTATTTCCATAAGTTATCAGATTTGATTTTTCCCGCTAATATACTACCGGAGTAATGGCCGAAGCTGGTCGATTATCATGATCGGAAAAAGCCCTATGAACACCAGGCAACAGAATTTTCTGAAAACGTAGATACGTCCTTCTCCCTGTGGTTGGCACGAGTACTCAACCTTTAGGATGAATGAGACATACAACCAAAACGTTATTTTAGTTATCCAAACGCAGCGAGCAAACAAATGATAGACCTTATCAGATGTTATGAACAGAGCAGATTCGAATGCGGTCCATTTTGTCATAAATACCGACCACACCAGGCACCGTACTTGAGGCATCCTCTTCGCATTGTATCCGGCTGAAATCGGCATGGAAATGCTCACCAACAAAGCGGACGATGTTCGACCACTTTCTGATCAGGTGCGCAGCATTAACTTGACAAGGAGCTCATGTCAAAACTCTGTCATAAATTCTCTAAACATCTCTTCAAAAATTGCGGTTGCTGCTTGACTAAATCTCAGGATCCACTATCGTCTAACGTTGAAGAAAACTATTCAGCGCACAGCCAACAAGAATCTGTTGAGCGAGTACACTTATTATCATGGAATGGTGCCACCGTAAGTTGCACTTTTGACAGAACTGACACTCAGATTTCGAGGGGTTTCTACAAAAGTACTGCAAAAAGAATCCCGGACACTATGAAACCATCTGTCAAAGGGCTGCAGCTAAAATTTTGCCGTAACGACTAAATCATGAATCAATCACTATTATGGGAAAGTGAACGCTAAAGAGGTGGCCGCAAGAATCTTGATCTATACAGCTTTGGTTCACAAGGACTTAGGACAATAAACTGATGGCAACCGGTTCATCAGTAAGATTTGCTAAAAATGATGAAAAGTATCGCTTAAAGGCACCTCCATCCCAAGTTTGGGGTCTTGAGCTTTTGGCAGCACATGATAGTCGCAAATTGTCGCTTCAGAGACAAGAACATCTCTTCGGAATAGCAAAGATGCATTAGGTCTCAAGTCGGCACCGCCCCGCTCCAGTGATGCCCGCCCATATGCGCGCCTATCCAATCGCGGTTCCGGAAAGCCGGCCTGTGGATATCCGGAACGGGAATTGTCGGAATTTTTGTGGATTCTCTACTTCATATTCGGAATCAGGGACATGAGAAGCCCCGAAACGATAAAAACACGGAAGTCAAGAATCTGGGTAGACGCTGTCTTCAAAATCATGGCACGCGCCACAAGGAGTATCGTGGCCGCGCATGCGAGCCGGCGCAGTGCCAATAACGTGCCGATGCCGGTACACGGGCAATCATGAGCGAAGCCTAACGAATTCAGTTTCCTAAAGCCCCGGACAGACTTCACGCGACTTGATCGTCGCGATCTAATCGCCAAGATTTCCATACATTTTCATTTCACATTCAAAAATTTCGGGCTGGAAAAGTATCACAACCGAACGCAAGTTGATCGGCATAGAATGATGTTGTAAAGTTGTCTCGTCGCGATTCAGTCGCGACGATTAAATCGCATGAAGTCTGCCCGGGGACTAAAGCTTCCTTCAACCTGCAGGACTGACTTAGGAAAGCTCTCGGTACATACGTATTATTTAGACAAGATGTTCCGGAACTCCTTGAGAAAGATGGAGACTTTCTTTTGCGGAAAGAACAAGTCAAGAAAGGTTGGCAGATTTATCCTTCTATTTGAAAAAAGACTATTTTCCAGGTCTGTTAATAGCAGTATTATCGGTGCGTTGCGATGATGTTGTCAAACATTTCATTATAAACAAATCTGACAAAGGAGAATATTATATCGAAAATTTAAGAGCCAAAACTATCGAAGATTTGGTACAAAGTCATTTGTGAGTTCTGTGGCAAAAAGGTTTCTAGCAAAATAAACATAAGCACATACAGAAAAAGCGGTGAACCCCTATCAAAAGCGTCACAAGCAAGATTGAAACGAGCAGTGCCACGACAAGAATGGATGTTAAATCATGAAGACATTATATTCAGAGAAGTATTATTTTGTAAAATCTCAAAATTTCAAATATCAAGAAGCCTAATTTAGTGCGTAGGCCAACGTAACCCCGATTCTGTAGAAGAATACGTGGGAGAGTTTGTGTACAATAATGTAACCCGTCCAGTGTTTTTGAAAACTGTAGGAATTACAGTGAGTTTTCGAGATGAACTATTTAGATCCATAAGAAAAGTCCATAAAAAGTTTGATATTTGGAATAATTACGGAAACTGACTGGTAGTCCTCAAACTAGGTCACTACGCAGCTAAAAAGACCCAAATCCGAACTCTCGTTCAGTACCGTACTTCAATGCGACCAAACAGAGTCACCAAGTACGGTATGGTCTAGACTTCAAGCTTGAGTTTCTCGGTCACGAACAAATCAAAAGAGCTACCACTTGAGCCTAATTAGACTTCTCCGACCCCCCCCCTCAAGATTCAGATATGAAATATAAATTATGATTGTTTCAGTGTAGCCGTAATGTTCGTGCTCGAGTTATGAAAGAAGCTCGTTTACTACGATCCCTACGACATCCGAATGTTGGCGAAATCTACGGTGTTGCTCTACATTACAGCCCAATTATACTTGTACTAGAATACTTCTCGAGTAAGGAAGTTTTCCTTTAAAATTTCCCACAGAAATAATTGCAGAATATTCAGAATCACTCCACACTCATCTCAAACAAAACGCTGGACAGATTTCTGAAGAAGATAGACGTAGATTTATAACAGAAGCTGCTGCTGGATTTGCATACCTAGCTGAAAACGGTTGCATACATCGGGATATTTCAGCGAAAATCTGCAAGTTGAGTGATGCTTTGGTAGGTGAAAAATTTTACAAACAAAGAGAAAATGAATAATCCTCTTGTTTCGATTCAGGAAGTGAAGATCTCCGGTTTTTCTCTCTGCGAAAATACCAAAGAAATGCATGAGTCGAACAATATTCAAATTGCTGTAAAATGGCAAGCTCCAGAGGTATTAAAAGGCGGAAATTTCAGTCTGAAATCAGATGTTTGGTCATTTGGTGAGGGAGGGTTACTAATCAAGAAAAATTTTGTTATATCACAGTTTTTTAGGCATATTGATGTGGGAAGTATATAATGATGGAGCAGAACCATATGCTGGAATGACTCCAAGCGTTGTGAAAAGTATGATTTTAGAAGATGACTATAAAATGCCAGTACCGCAGGCAAGCTTACAGCTCAATGGAAATCAAGAAAAAGCATAATAATCTTTGAAATTTCCAGGAATGCCCAGAAATCATAGCAAAGATAATGTCATCATGTTGGGAAACATATCCACGAAAACGACCATGTATGCAGGCAATTTATCTAGTTGTAAGAGATAATTGAGCAATCGAAATAAAAAATTTTGAAAGACGTTCGATGAGATTTGAAGACCAAAGCGCAAATTTTGCAACTTTTCCTACACCACAACAGAATAAAAATTATTACATTGTCCAGTCAACGCAAAAGTCGTACCGTCACAAAGTTCGCAGATAGATGTAATGCTATAAAGGCACTCACTACCGTCAAATATAGCAATTACAATTTTAGCGACAGGGGATAAAGCGGAAAAACAAATTATTGCATTCAATTTTATTTAACACGAAGCGAAAGCTCACTGTAACTACGATACAGTAACAAAATACTAGACCGCTATTCGATTTCAAAAAAACATTCCCTAATCCATAATTTCCATTTATTTGTGTCGTTTATTACCCTTTATTCTCGCTTGCGATAGCCACTTTTACCTTACCAAACGAATCACATTTTGGTTTGTTTCTGGTTCTCAAATTGTTCAGCTACTACAACTGCTACTACAGCCACCAATAAAATCGGTAAGAAACCTGTAAAACATCAGACTGCTCCATTTTTAAGATCGTATTTTCAAGAAAGAAGACATATGACCGTAATGCCTCAAATAATTAGCTCATCTCAATGCATTTTTTCATCTATTACTGATTCATATTTCTTTGAAAATTCATCGATTCTCATTCTATGCGCAGTTTTTTAGCCAGAGAACTTGATCCACCAGTAAACTAGCATCTATTTTAGTATAGCCTCGGGCATACTTTACGCGATTTCACTCACCACTCGATTTGGCAATTTGCCAGAAGTCTTCAAATCCAACACTTGTGATTGTTCGCATGCCATCCTTCACATATGACGGTGTTGTTGAATTCTCAGCACACTCAAGCTTTTCGTAAATAAGATTTACAACTTCAAAAGACTTCAAACTCACCTTTGAAAACGTAGCTGCACTAATAAGCAAGCAACCTGCGCTGAACTCTTTAACAAAGATTTTGTTCGAAACAACAGAACTCAAACCTTCCTCTAAAAACAGCTAAGGTTTTTTTTTTTCGGAAATTAACACTTATGTGAAGTACATGTGCAGTATTCCCAGTTCCCCACATTGATATATGTTATGCAAGCAATATTATCTCTCGCAAAAAAAGCTACTGCGGAAGAGTACATCCTGTACATTGAAAATACTTCATTCATGAAAAAAGCTCCATAAATGTATAACTAGTGTATATTACCCATAATTATTAATAATACATATGCAGGCATATTGTTTGTCAAGATCTTGAGAATAGCGTAAATGAAGACATGTGGGAAAAATGTAAGGAGATTCATGATTTCACGAGCTATACAGATGCCATTAAGAGATGATATGCGCTTGATAAGCTTCCTTAATATCCGGGACAAAAATAAAGCAACCGTAATGCGGTCATGTTTCACATGAGATACAACGTAGAGATGATTGTTCGAAGCATAACAAGAGAAAAAATGAGAAAAGAATAATATTTGCAGCAATAGTGACAAGTCCAACGTTGAAAATCAGACAAGAAAGTGAAATGCCTTCAAAAATTCGGCTACTAAAAAAGCAAGATTATAGCACCAAATAGTACACTTCGTTGCAAAAATACAACTTCTGCGAAGATACTGGGGAAGTTCTGCTCGTTCCTAAGGGTTACGCAAATTTCTAAACAGCCTGTGGAGCTGGTTGAAACGTTCGCATTGTGGAGAAGTTAGCCGTAGCCATTGTTTGAACCATCTGCGGTGGTGATGTGCGAGTTGTTTCGTTCGAAATAAATGAGAAAGCTGAAATTAACAAAATAATTAATTTGAAAGCCAAACAGTTTTTTCAAAAACGATAAAAAGCTAGAAATAACAATTACCTCTTCCATCGCTTGTTTCCGTGCTTGAAGGAGATGGACTTATTCGCGATGATTCTTCCCTTTCCTCCTCAATAACTGTCAAGCGATCTTCTTCAATGCCAAATTTCTGCGTTTGGATAGCTGGCAGCAGAGCAGCGCATTGTGACTGAAAAAAGAAAACTTTAAGGAATTCTTGGTATTTTTTCTATTGCGTATAGGAACTTCGCCCCCCTTCCCTAGGTCGCGGAATTTTTTTAAAGTGGTACACATAAGCTAAACCATTGTGAAAACGACTCGTTTCAATTGTAATCTAAATTACATTTTTTTGAAATTTTTCAAAATTCATATTTGCTCTGGAAGAGGTTTTTTGGATCATTCCAATTGAAGAAATCTTTTCCGTTGCCCTGGCACCCTCCCTGCTCAAAAAAAAATTCTCAGAGACCCACTGATAGTTAGATAAAGATTCCAATATTGATGACTACTTCATTGAAAGCTTAGCCCCCCCCCCCAATGCAGGCTTTTCATAAAATTTTAAACTCCCCCCCCCCCACCTCCACACATTATAAAGGCGCAGCCAAACACTTCAACTAATCTTGTGGAATTTTCGCCCTAAATGATACAGTACTTGCCCAATCAACAAATAAACAACTATATATTCTATATATTCTTTCCCCCCCCCCCCCCCCGCCATTCGTGTATTTCGCTCCTCGTCATGGCGTAACACTTGACGCGCGTGCTTTCATTGCGTCATACCGCTCAAAAACCCATAATTAGGCTAGTTGAAACAATAAACTGTGAGATGCACAACTAGATAACGAGTTACGGTAGTTAAGTAGGATTTGAAATGAGTTGTTGGCCAATCATGGAGAGAATCAGCTCACAAAATCATCAGTTTATATATAACTTGAGATTCCTTGGAGGAGAAAAGTTTTTAAAGTCCTCTCTTTCCGCCAACATCACTCAAAGTGCTCTTCTTATTCAATGTTTTCATAGACTCATTTCATTGCCTATAGCATCCTCCTGATGCTTGAAAAAATAATTCGGAATAAGCTTCCGCCGGATATACAGATTACCAGATTATGAAGTCTCGAAAACATGAGTGATATCAGTGCCATTCGGGCATAAGAACGAATCCTTACAGTCGCTCTTGAGCTTTGGATGTTCAAAACAACAACCAATTACTAAGATCAGATCAGAAGTGGCAAAATCAACAATCATAAACCACCGCCAGCTTATTCTATTTCCCTCGCCAATTTTGAATCTTCTACGATTCCAAACTTTGAGCGAATTCATTGAAATGCGATTCAATGCGATTAAATTACTATTCCAGCCTAACCTATGAATCAAATTTTCTCTCGAAAACGGAAATGAAATTGAAGCGAAGAACTTTTTATCAAGCAATATATCCTCTTGAATGATGCTATAAAACCCAAGATTTATGACGGATAAGATAATGCTGGAAAAGCGGAGATTTATTGCGAATAATTCTACTTGAATTCTATGGATTTGAGGCAAGCACAAGATGCAAATCCTAGGTGGAAAAAACTGAGGACTTCATCGTACTGAGGTGCTTACGTAATGGCAAAAACGTAGATTATTCACTTATAGTATAGAGAAGCCAGAAAGGAGTTAAAATAAAGCCCGAATAACCAGCATTACTTGATTTATTTTTTATAAAATCCGAACTTTTGGACCAATTTCATCAGCTTGAAGTCCAGCATTTTCTAAACCGCATTTTGTAGAATTTTTTAAAGTTTTACCGTATCCTCTGCGTCGAAGACATTTGCTGCTCCACTGGAGCTCATACAATTCATTTCCGCTCACTTCACCTAACTTTAAACTCTAGCCCATACCACAATCTAGTCTAATGATCTTACGGTTTGGGCTAGTGTTGAGAGTTGACTTTCTCGACCATAAAGAAATCGTGTAAGCTACTACTTCGGCAACAGGTTAACCAAGTCCACCTGATCAACCTAGTATACCTAGATTTAAGTAGACACTGCCACTGAGAAGTTACCCATTTGCCAAAGCAATTACCCGTACATGATACCCTCACAACCCGAACAGGCGCAATAATTACGCAACTAACATGAGCAGCGTGTCATTGCGCAGCCATAAGTGACAGCAATTATAGCAACAGCAACATACATTTGCATATAGGAAAGTTCCTTACCTTTTTGTGGAACTTCCGATTCGATCTGACAGCCCGGAAGACATGGGCGAACACGTGGTGGACCAGAAAAACGATTCCAACGCCAATGGCAAGAAAAAGGACTATCAACAAGCCGCTGAGGAGGAGCATCGGGAAAGATGATGTCACTAAAATTATGGGAGAATTTGATGAAATCGGATTCTAACAAAACCTTTCGAATCTTACGCAAACACATTACTTATGAAAAAATAAATCCAGATTACAAACAAAAATTAAAGTAATCCACTCACTTCCTAGCCTTGTCGAATCACATTCATCAAGAAGAGCTTCCTTACTGTATGTAGAATTCATAAAGCATGTAATTTGACCAGTCCTTTCAGTTAAAATGCACGCCTAAAAATAGCATTCTTACACTCGCAATTCAAAAAAAAATTTTAAAAAATGTACCTTAGCATAATATTCATCAGGTGAATGCTCGTAAAATTGTACATTCAACTTCAATGGCCAATGTTCCGTGCCAATTTTTCGCGAATCAACGCTTTGATCGCCAGCAAGGAATGTTGATACTGATCGGACTTCGTGCTAAAATAACGCATAAATATATTTTGACCTCACAACTACCCGTAAAGAAAAAACAATTCCTTGGGGAGATTCAAGCACTAGATTTTTCAAATATTAACAAACTGTCTAGCTTTCGACCAGAGAATTCAACGATTTTTGCCATATATGGTCCAGCCATAAATATGCATTCACTGAATTATGCATGAATCGTAAAATGAGAACCTCGACCACGAACAAATTTTTCATTTCCGGCTAACAATAGAATTTGCGAGTAAAAACAACAATCACAATGGCTCGAAAATGCTTGGATTAAAATAAAGCAGCTTTCCAGAAATTTTTTCACCTGCTTTTCCCAAAATGGACGCAGTTAACAATGTCTGCTCTACTATGTTACAGCAATGCATACTGGTTGATAAAACAAAAACAAAAATAAGGGTGAGATGCTAAAGGTAAAGGCAAGGCACCGATACTCTCCAATATGTCAATGATTCGATGATGAGAACCAGACACTGTTTGATAAGTTAAGGGTTTTAAAACCCTCAAAACCACGAAGAATGAAGACTACCATAGAGGATGAAAAGCAGTTAGCTTTGCTGGCTTAACATTCTTAGCCGGCTATTTATCTCGATCTCCTTATCAAAACATTTACCATAATCTTTTAATATAATGTCCATCGATTGGCCCCTACCCTTTACCTCTGCGCTGTCCGCTCAACTACGATTACAGTATTTAGCAAAAAAAAGGCTCTGCAAGGAAATCTCAAATCTTTTGGATTTCCAAATGTTTCAACGTCAATGGCTTATTTTGCAACTTTTTTTGATTTCATTCACTGTGTTAATCCACACAACATTATAGGAGAAAACAATACCTTAGTAGGACGAGAACAAGAGCTTTGTTCTAGTAATTAGCTGCCCTTTGCTACCAGCATTTTATATTTCATTTTGAATTTGTAGTATTCGCAGGTAAAGAGTGGAGAAATGGCTAAAAAGTTACGTTTCCATGTTATCGCCACTTTTTCACGCGCAAATGTTGTCAGTAACCGCAGGGACACTACATTATGCCACCAATCCACCAGGCTGTAGCGCGACTTCCATTAAACCCCCTTCCTCCCCATCCCTTCCCCACTCTAAATGACTCTAAACGAGCTTGTCCAGCGGTCATCTTAAAAGTACTTATACACATATGGTGCTAGGGAACAAAAGCTCGGAAAGAACATATGTGACACGTCTCACATTAAAACATTCACTCGACTACGACTGAAGTGTTGTACTCTTAGCATATTGTAAGCTCATAAACAAATAAGTTGAATAGTGAAATCAGATCCAGACATGCTTCAAGGTGGACAACACCTGGTACATCTCAACAAACATTATTTCACATGCAAGGATGAAGATCAAACATTGATTTTTTGGTATTTTCTCACACATAATTATTTTCTTCGTAAAAATATTTCTCTCAAAACTAGATTTTATTTTATTTAGACAGTTTAAGCCCTTCCCCCTGACTGATGAGTATCGGAGAGTGAGTCTAATAATATCTTACACAAAAATAGGAACAAAACTGATAAACTTTTTGGATTTTGGTTTTTGTTTCACTGATTTGTTGTTTACTAATTTAGCGACCTTGTCTTTTTACTAACGTTTTTTAATTGATATCTACACCAAAATAACCCAACGCTGACTAAGCATGCCCACGATTCTCACGCATAAATCCCATTTTGTCTCTAGGAAAACAAAAAAAGTACATTCGTGGGAACGTTTCTGTTTCCTTGTGGGCAAATTGGAATCATTGCGTGAGAATCGAAACCATGCTTACTCAAAAATTGGATTAATTTAGGTAAGTGCACGAATTAATTAGTTCCTGAGTGGGAAAACTGAAATTACCGATTGTCGCAATACATATAGAAACAACCTAGCCCATAAAAATTTGCGACGAGTTCCGAAGTTCCAAAACTCCGCATGGGCTAGGTCAGTTTCGTATGTTCACATAAAAAGTAGTCTTTCCGCTTCCACTCAGATTGCAAATTCTGAGTAAACATGATTTTTCTTTGAGCAATGATTTCATTTTGTTTACAAAAAAAATGATTCTCACGAACGCACTTTTTTTCCTGGGGATAAAAAGTCACTTATACGTTTCTGAAGCAAATTTGTAAAAGACTGTAAGCGCCTGCTTCTCCCCGAAAAATCTCTTCCTCTTCCTGCAGCAACGGCTCTACTAGCTCGTTTCGTCATAAATCACTCAGTTCTTCGTTCGTCCCGACATTTTTTCTTGCATTTACTGCTGCTCGTCGAACAACATTAATCCAATAACCTTTGCCATATGTTATGTGTACGTAGCTCAGCGGTATTTCTTCCTGGGAGTTCGGCTTAATTATCTCGAGTGTCACATGCAATGTTTGCACAACTCATACGAGGTCGCCGTACTCACACAGTTACCAATTAGATGATCGAGAAAGAGAGAGGGGCCCTCACTTGATATACCTAAAGAGGGCGCGTCGGCCTCCCTCTGGTATATCAAGTGGTACTGTCGGTCACACATACAGAAAAGGCAATAGGCTAATTGGATTACGGTAGCGTTACGATAAGGATGTTATGCTGTGAAAGAGAGCCAAGATGTGCATTAACCTGCTCTTGGCTCTTGGCTCACACAACCACAACTTCCTTCACATCTGCATAGCAACCGCCCGCATTTCATGGAAAAGCCAATGACCTAAGCTCTCCTGCAGCCAGAGTTATTCTAAGAAATGTGTATTCCCCCTGGATGCAAGATTATCCATGAATAGTAATGGCACTGGACGATGCCAAAGTTCATGGATATCCCACAAGAAAAGGCTTCTGCTCAACGGTCAATGATTAGGATGTTTGAGACGAACAGACGCGATAATCTTAGCATTCGAAGAATCTTGAGTGTATTAAATAGTTGTGTATATTTAGCTTTGTTCAAGGATTCTTTGGGTTAAATTTTTAAGAGATATACGTAGTTAGTCTGAGCAGAAACAACAGAAGTTGCAAAAATGTTTCCAAGAACCATCGCAGACCACAAAAAACCAGATTTTTGGGACTGTCACAATTTGTAGCTTTCAACGAGATAGATTTCAGCCCCGCTTCAAAGATTTGCAAGAAAATTGTATAACTCTTTACATCGCAGCATAAAAAATGGACTTTAGGACCTACAATTACCTTCATCTGCACATTTTTCAGCTTGAATTTCCGCGTTTTTGACCGCTGGTGAACGAGACTGACGTCTTTCAGTTCGAAAAATGTGATGGAGGCTATCCCACAGCCACTCCATAATCTACATCTATGAAGATAAACACTACAAGTCCACTATAATCCTCAACCATAACCCTAGTACCATTTCACTATGCTTAGATCAATATTGTAAAAATATAACTGTCCGAAAGATATTCAGAATTCTTCTTCTTGCCTCATCTTGAGAAAAAAAAGGCCCCGGGCGCTTCATAACAACCTTTATACTTCCCATAATTTTTCAAAACAACATTTCTGAGCTGCAAGAAAATTGCAATTTCAATTTAAGAAAAACAGAAATGAACTTACAATCACTCGTATCGACAGTTCAGCCGGTTGGGCACAAGCATTGAACGTTGTGGAAACTCTAGCGGCTCCGATCTCAGGTAGAGGAATATCACATCGCGGTAAGCAATCCATCTGGAAAATGCATACTCATTTGTTTACTGGTAGTGAAAAACAGCAAGAGCGATAATTATTTAGCATCAATCACGAAGGCTAAGCGAGAAAACACAACGAATGTATAGTGAAACCTAAAAGCGAAGCTGGATTTCTCACGAAAAAAAATGAGAGAATGAGAACTAGTCCTTTCTAGAATTCATGAAAACAAACATATGATTCAGAAGCTACGACAATGGTGCAGGAATGCATAACTAAGAACTCTGACCGCTGAGAGCAATACGAAACAAAGATCGAATGTAAGCAGCTCGGATTAAAGCTATTCAGAGCTGAAATCGCTGACGCAACTTGGAGAATTCATTCAAATTACGTTTATAGAAACTTTTCTGAAGATCTCAAAGGAAATAAATCTGGAAAGTAGGCGATGATCTGCTGCCCACGTCTTTCCAATGACATCAGGTCCACCAAAGTAAGTCTGAACTGATAATCGAGATGATCAACAGAAATAGACAGGGGTAAGGGATAGAGTGACTAGCTGTAGAGGCTCATTTCACGATGTTAACTTCAGGTACTTAGGCATTTCGTGAGAGTAATTCAAATTACTCAGCACTATCCATGAGCGTATGAATAATATGAGAAAGAATGAGCTTGTGACTTATTGATGACATACAAAAAATGAGATTCTAGTGCAGCTGTCCTCATTCTTAGGCAGAAATGAACGAAATGAAGCAATAAGAAAGTATGGTAACAGATATAGTTCACTTGTATCAGGAAAATGAAAGTCATTTCTCACTTTTGCCCGTAAAAATCCAAAAAATTTCCAATGATACTTATCGGAGGAGATCTCCTAGGAGTAAACAGCAATGACTGGCTGTAGCAGCTCGTTTTAATAAATTCCAAGCTATAAACCTATCGAAATCTTACGCTAAGCTGGATCTACCACTCATTTTATATAGATTCTGTCTAGACGAAAGGAAATTGCTGCACCGAATGGAGACTGGTCAAAAGGGAGATAAGTGTGGAACCATCACTCTTAGAGCGTGGAAAATGGAAAACCAAGAAACCACAGTGAAGAAAAACGCAAATGAACGAGTTTAGGAATTGAAAAGAATTGTGAAGAGCATGGGGGGGGGGTTCAGATAGCTTTCTGACAAACTTTTCACATCCTTCCGTTCAAAGTCAAATCGGAAACGGCTAAAGCGACTGCACTTAGCGACAGACATGAAGAAGACTGTCAACAGAGTGATGACAAGAATAATTTCAGGAAGAAACCGGAAAACATTGCCCTAAGTTAATGGAAAAGAAGAGAGCATGTCATGCCCACCACTTTGAGCTTCGATCGCTTAGCTCTCTTTTCATGAACATGTTTTGCCATAAGGGCCATCAAAGGTGAATAGAATGCTGCGATTTCCGTTTTGGCAAGAAGGCACATATAAACTTCTACAGCATTAGCTAGAGGAAAAGCCTAGGGTACAAGATGTTACGAACGATCAAACAATAATTGGAAGATCAAAAATTACCCGAAAAAAGCCGAGATTACCATAATCAATCAGGAAGCTTCTTGTCGCCATCTTGGCGGACTCGTATTAAGTAATCGTTCTGGAGATTGCGACAAACGCCTACGACCAAAGCTAAGAAGGGATAAAACGGCTTTGAAGTAAAGTCTGCTTTGTGCACAACCACTTGAGTGCAAGTTGTACATGCTCGTTTACTTTTTTGTAAGCGGGAAAAACGTCAAAGAGTCAAATTTCCACAACTATTCGTACAAATGAACTAAAGTTGTACTTAGCATAGAGAAAACGTTGACAACCTGTCATGGAAGTTGTTGGTGTCAAACTAGTACTTTTATATGGACAAGAGCTGGCGCCATTGCGGAAGTGACAATTTAAAAAGGATTAGTGACTAATGGAGGGATTACTATTAAGAATCTTATGTGGACAATAAGTGAAAAAAAAACGATTGACTATAAGAGGTAGAAAAAAATGGACATAAGATTGCCTCGATGATCTTACACATTTGAAAATTCAAACAAACATTTTCAAGTTCAAGAAGCCAAGTAACAGACGCACAAAGTCTTCATACGGCTAGAGATGTGTGAAAGGATGAAGACGTGGGCTCAGCCTAAGGCCCGCGCCACGCCCACAAACACAGCACTTCCCATCTGTTAACAGGCTGTTATGATACAATCTACCCCCTGCAAGGAAGACTAAAGTCTGGATTACGTGACTAGAAAACAGATGGGAAGGGAGGAGGGATGGCGAAAGCAAATGTAATTGGGTTGATTACGGTTTTTAAACAACAGTCATGGATCTTCAGTTCGATGACTGAAGCGCAAAAGTGGTTATGAGTTCTGCAAAAAAAAAATTCAGATGGATCGGCAATGAGAGTCTTATGAAACAAATAGAGCTGAACAAGGAAAGACAACTTGAAATGTATAAGCTTGTTTAGAAAAACTCAACAGAAAATTTTTCGAAAAAAAAGATGAATTCCAGGCGATAATAATTGTCAAAAGCACCTGCCCGTTACTCTCTGTCAATCAAAATTCCTCTGCAAAAGCAAATGTAAATTAGCCTGTAAATAAAACACCTGCAATAGATAGATTACTGAATAGAATGGCTGAATCATACCGACACAAAAATGACTGGTCAAAAAATAATAATTGCTCGTTTGAGTGAGAGACAGCTGATATGACAATTAAGCAGCGCGATAGTAAGGTGAACTTATAGTACCAGATAATCACAACAAAATTATCATTATTGAGATGCTCGTACCAAACAAGACGGCCTATAGTTAGCAGTGATTATGGTCTTGGTAATCAGCTACAGTCTAAAGGCTTTTAGCGTTAGCGTTAGCGCACTTAGGCCCTGGCCAGATTTCGCTCAAAAGCGCCCAAAAGCGCCCAAACTTCTCTAACCTCTCCTAACTCTCTCTCTCTCTCATCTCTCCTCACACGAGAAAGTGAAGAGAAAGGAGAGAAATTTGGGGGCTTTTGAGCGCTTTTGGGGGCTTTTGAGCGCTTTTGGGCGCTTTTGCGCGAAGTCTGGCCAGGGCCTTACACTACTAACTTCATTTGCGCGTACCTGCCAAAAGGGTACCTATCGGTTGCTAATGATGTAATTATATCAGGAAATGCGCAAAGGCGATAACAGAAGTTTTCGATGGACCTTCAACTTGAATGTGTACGAATGGAACAGCTCCCGCTTTCTTTTCAATGACTGTTCGAAAATATAAACTTCTCATTTAAAAATTCAAAAGATTCAACTACCAAAATTACTCTTTCTGACGTAACATAAACTAAACTGGATAAACTAGTCCAAACTCGATGTTTTTTCTTGAATGTACATAGTTCTCTGATGCGAAACAGAACAGCGCGAACGTTTGTTCAGAAAAACGTTCACAACCTCTTTACGAGAATCGTCCAGCAGATCCCATAACCGAACCCCCATTCGGCGTCATAGGGGACATTTCATAAATGGTCATCATCACGCATCCTTCACATAAAGATGTCCCGGTTACACGCATGTGGTACCAACCTTTAACCTCTTCGATACATACCGACGTTCAGAAAGTAGTAGAAATACAAGAAAAACTCAAAAGATTGACTAAACCTCCAACATCAAGCTAAGTAGTCTTTCTAGATATAAAAAAGCAATCCGAACAGATAACAAATCTTGAGAACCTCATAATCACGACAACATCTGATTTCTTTGCGATCACTCTACTCAAAAAGAGGAGATTACTTTGAATTTATGATGATAATGACATTTGAAAAGTCTTGATGTTCAACTTGAGTTACAATAGACAAAAAGATCAAACTTTCAGCGAAACTAATCATCTGGAAGGACTAGAACAGCCTTAGCGATAATACATTCAAGCAAAAACTGTCTTTGACTAACGAACAAACTCATAACTCAGTGCTTGAGAATTTATGAAAATGCAAAGGCAAAAAAAAGAAAAAAAAGAAAAAGGAGGAACCTCATCACATTGATATCTGCGCACCAATCACAGTCCACAACACTTTATGTCCAAGTCCAGAACAGTTAGAATGCCATCATCATGAAAGCTGCCATTCTGGGTGGTTTCTATACACAAGGGAGATCGGCTCCATTTAAACAAACTATATAAAAACTGGATGAGTTGATAGAGGAACGAATAGAAGTTTGCCCCTTCTGGAACTATACTGAAGAGAGGGTTTTTGAACCCGGGGCGGCAGGAAGGCCACACATCTGGTCTAGTTCAAGTCCCGAAACCAGAGTGTGAAAAAGAAACTTGGATAGCATATTGTTTTTTGTACGCATATTGAACTCGCACTAGCTCTGAATTTTACCAATTTCTTAAATTACCAATTCACTAACTCTTCTTTATATAAAGCGCAAACACATAGTCCAAAACATTCCCAGTGTTTATACCAGTTGAAACGCCATCATCATGAAAGCATCCTTTCTGGGTGGTTTCTATACACAAGGGGATCGGCTCCATTTGAGAAAACTACATAAAAACGAGAATTGATGGAGGGACAGATGAGATGCACCCGTCTTCTATGCATTCGATGCAGTGCAAACGGGAATGATTGAGCGTGAAGGATTAACGGATTTCGCCTTGTGTTGCGCGTTTGAACAAGGCTTTCAAAACAATATTTCGACAAGAAAAAACTAATGCTTCATGAAAAAAAACCTTGCAGAAAATTTTTACAAACTGGTAAATGCAGGAAGTGACTTACATGACAGCCTGCTGTTCAATTTTCCGCACTTCCGCAAAGCTGTAGTCGAAGAAATCCAATTTATTGGTTAAAACTGACTATTCAACGAAAGCACACCTGCCAAATAGTTTCTAGAGCATTACAGAGGATGCCAAAGTCAATGAAAGCGAGAGAAGGTCAGTTGCGGAATAACAGCTTTATAATTGCCCCAATTTCAGATATAAAGCTTATGAGCTGCGCGCGAGAGCCACGAATAACAAGTAGCCCTATCGCATCTATACAAGCTAAGGCTTCAAGGGGATGGTTAGAAACTTTAGTAGCCTTTCTCAACAGGTTTTCTATGGTATCATGAGTAAATGGCTCATATCAAAAAAAAATCCCCCGTTCTATTAAAGCTGGAGAAAAGCTGCGCGCATCGGTTGGTTGGCTCGATGGCCAAACTAATCGAAGCCTTTTTTCTTGGAAATTATAATTCGCAAGTCTCAGGCCCCAATATGTACATTGACCTGTGACACACATACGAATTCGAACTATATAATAACTACAAGACCATATGAATGCAGAGAGAAGTTATCCGACCTGTGAAACGAAGATCTTATGGCTACATATACAGCGAATTCGTTTATAGCGCATCAGCAGTGTCAATACTACTTAAATCTAGAAAGTAATCCTTATCCTTTATCCTTCAAACCAAAAATTAAATCTTGCGAGCCACGGCCATTTTATACGCGCAAGCGTTGTCGGCAACGCAAGTGCACTACGATTCGTTTAGTTATCAAACTACGACACATTTTAGCTATAGCCGTTATTCGGAATAAATTGTTACAAGCACATGCGCAGCGGTTTTCTACAATGCGCAGCGTGTCATCAAACGCTCAGCCGATGATCACTAATTACACCTAATAAACTGGGACCAGATGCGTGTACTGACCTAATGGTTATCTAATGATTCATAAGTAGTACAATAATATCAAGCAGATCCAGAAAGACAAATGAGAGAACTCCAACTGAAAGCTCGTTTTCGGCAAGGTAGGTGCCAGAGTAAGCGAATATTTTGTTCAAGTTGGGGTCCCGCGCAGAACTGGCATCACTAATCATTGTGGCACAACGCCAAGTTGGCATTATGCCACAATGATAAGTGATGCCAGTTCTGCGCGGGACCCCAACTTGAACAAAATATTCGCTTACTCTGGCACCTACCCAAGAAGTCGCCAACTACGAATGGTCCCAGCACGATAGGTGTGGGACGTGCAGGTCATTTAAAAGCGTAATTTAGTATCTATGTACTTTTTCTTGACAAATGCGTCTTTGGGCTGTTTTTAAGATCCATGGTGGGAACGCGTGAGTTTGCCTTCGGCTAATTCTTCCTCGGTGTTGAAAAGAAAGTGCTCCGAGAATAACTCGAAAAGGAGGGTGAAGCACAAAGTTCCCGAATTTTTGCTCACATTTCAGCTCGCATTCAGAGCCAGCAGAGCATATAAACTTCACATTACGGGTATGCCTTCTTAATTCCTTGCAGTTTGCCATTAAGAAGGCAGAGAAGCAAGTCAATGCACTGCCCAAAAAAGTTGGATAAAAAAATGCATAAAACCGCCGAATTTTGATTCTTGTATGTGTAGATATGACCACTAAATAAGCTTTTGACCAAGCGGCTGCCGATATCATGGCCGAAAATTTAACTATAGTCCTCGACCAACCGTAATAGGAAACGTTGATTGACTGAAGGGAATATGGTACTGGACGAGAGTCTAAAGTTGCATTTTTTGGCCACATGGTCACCCCGCTTAGGCAATCTACACAAATAAAATTCCTGGAGAGTGCTTTATGCGAACAAAAACTGACTAGTCCGACTCCTCAATCCTTTTGAGAGCGTAAGTTGTTCTTCACCAAGAAAATAAAAATTGGAGCAAGGCTCTAGCATTTTCTTGCTTTTTTACTCTACAAATTTCTGCCCTTGCCCTATTAAGTATCCACAAAACTGTTCAACTCCCTAAACCAAGGAAAGCAGGAAGTATAGGCGGTTTATTGCACGCAAAGACTAGACGACTTTGCGTCCGAGCGAGATAGTGCTTGTTTGGACGAGACAGCAGGCGATAGGAGGGAGGACAGAGCGTGTGAATGGGGAAACGCAGACATTGTCCGCAGTGGCGCCCAGACTCTGCGTGCAATGAATCGTCTATATGTGAGATTTCGATCAATTTGGACAATCTGGGCTCTCTTTTTCATCGAATTGAAAGTCCATCTATAATATATCAATAGCTCGCGCTGCTGTTCTCTGCAAAGCTAATAATTTTGCTCCTTCAATGTCATATCGTTATTGAACTGGAATGACTGGCCATTATTCTGCATAATAAGGGAAGACAAAAAGAAAATGGGGCTACACGGTTCAGACGCATAAAAAGATGAAAAGCCCACACATTGTGTTTGCAAATTATTCATGAGATTAATTTGCAAATTTTTCATGGGATTGGTTACGGTAATCATAGACAAACTGCATCAAGTGACAGCTCGTTGAATGGACTTTCACGCCTTTATTGAACTCTAACTTCTGCACATCAGCAAAGACAAAGTTTTCAAGGGATGCGTTGCATACATAAAATTGTGTAAATCAAATCATATAACTCAAAAAAGGCCGGACCTATATATAAAGGATCATTGTGCAAAAGTGAAATTGCGGAAAACCGCGCGGCTTCCGCAGCGAACGTTCCTGCGAATCTGGCACCTCTAAAGTGCTGGATCACTAGTAACAAAATAAATAATATAGCTGCAAGTGATTTTCAAGCAAGATGTCTCATTTCTCCCTGCTTTCCACTCCAAATTTTTTGACAACCAAATAATATGGGGTGAACGCTTGCTATCACTAAAATTTTCGAATTTCTGGTTTATCCGTCACATCCCATCTAGAGTAGACTGCAAGGCAAAAAAAAATATCAGAAGAATTACAAAATACATGATAGAAATCTCTAGGCGATCTTTAAAAATGCTTGATTTGGCTTATATGAACGGGAGCAAAAGTCTATTAGAATTAATTAATGATATTATTTGCAAATATTCAGATCTTCGAATTTTTGTCCTTTAAAGTTCAGGACATTAGAGTCGTGAAATTACGAGCAAGAAGGCAAGAATCAGGTCCTCTCTTGGTATAAAAATTATGTGGAGTTACCGATTGGATTTGTAACTAAAATTTACATGCCAAGAAAGATGATTTTGTGTATATTCCTCCATCTAATATATAAAGAATTGCAAGGTGCATTCACAAATCACCAGATGGCGGGAAACCGAGCGGGTCCTGAAGCGAGCGCGCTTGCAACTAGCACCTTTGAGATTACTGGTCCACTATTAATCAAAGTGATTCTTGCGTATTAAGAGCAGGCTGTGGTTAGGCTGGCGAATTTTTCTCGAGATTTGACCTTACTGAAGGGCCGGGCATACTTTTTGGCAGTATTCCAACTGTCCATAACTCACTGTAAGCAAATTTGAATGTACGAAAAATAGAGCATTTTATCAATCCATGTAAGTTATACACACTATGCATGTGCGGTTTGCTAATGTTGGATTCGAAGATTTCTGGCGAATTGCCAAATTGCGTCGCGACTGACATTGCGTGAAGTATGCTTGGCCCTTTAAGGACTCTGAATGATTACTAGCATGTACCAACTAACCCCAGTCTTGTTTAGAATTCACGCAAAATATTTTCGCAAATTTTCAGTTAAATGGGGTTTGTCGTACCGAGCAAAGTCGCTCACTTTCACAAATTACTAAAAAATGACGCCTTGAAATGCAATACTGAAATAATATTACAACTTTAAGTGGAGAATGATACAGCAGAGCATAATATTTTTAACAAGCTAGTCTATTTAGAGTGCACTTGCCACGTCATACAATCCAATCATCAAGAGCGCTGGCAAAAGTGAGCTGACAAAAAAAAACTTTCTGAAATAAGATTGTCGGGTCTGACGTAGGTCTAAGTTGAATCTCGCTAAAGATAGAAACATTAGCACTATTCTCATATAGCACATCGTGGCAACAATTTGCTTAGCTCAAATTTACTCGAAAAATTGAGAAATTATCATGCATAAATTTGCTCACTCTAGATGGCATGTACCGAGCTGATTGCGGGCAAAAAAATAGAGAAATTTTCGGCCTAAAAATGAAAGAAAGTCCTCGATTTTCTTGGGAGACCAAAGAGCAGTTCCCAAAACGAAATAGTGTCCAACTCTTTGTGACTCTTGTCCAGACGGCGCGCCAATGTCAGTGCGCATCTGGCTTTGTTCTGGCGTAAATTACCTCGAAAAAAAAGAAACTCGTTTTCCTCGAAAACACCAGCTGCGGCTACTATAGTCCAAACGATACTTCTTCCACAAATATCCCATTAAAGTCATTG